TACCCAGAAGATTTTCCTGGATTTGAATGTAGGACTTCTTGAGGCCTATTTCAACAGATTACATTTCTTACGGAGAGGCAATTAGAGCTGGGGGAAAGAAAAAAAAAAAGTAGAACGAGTGGGAAAGGTCTCAATTCCAGGAAAGATCCTACGTAATAGTTGCAGAAAATTCAACCTGTCTCACTGAATAGGGCTGCCATTAAACCTGATATGAGAAACAGGCTGACATGAACATTTGTTTGTTTCCTACTTTACTGGTTCACAATCACACGAGCTGACTGAATATCCTTCATGGCTATTATTTATTAGGCCCATGTGATAAGCTAAACCTTGTCCTGAGCATTTGACAAATATTATGTAATTGGCTTCAAGGCTATTCTTTGAGCTATCTATTACTGGCACTGTACAGGTCAGAAAATGGAGACCACAGAGGCTTGGCTGGCTTGCTCAAGGCAACACAGTTGGTCGGCGGCAAAGGCATATTTCAAATATGGGGTCTATCTGTCTCTGAGGCCCACATACTATTTACAATAGTATACAGTTTCACTGTCTACCAATGTGAATAAATGGGAATATAATCTTTTAAAAATCTCTGCAAGGAAGGAAGCTCACAATCAACTTTCTATCACCTAATATACCTAATAAATGAATAAATCTATTTGCCTAAATAATGGCATTATACTCCTTTAGTTTCCTATTAGGACTTTAGAGGCACAAAAAAGATAAGGGATTTTTTCAAGGCCACACAGTGTGTAAGAGAGCTCTGATTCTTTCTCTTCTATTCAATAACGACTCCAAATAACAGATGAAGTTTCAGTTATTCTGGATTCTGCCAAGTTGAGCCATTAATTTGGGTCAAGATCTCCAGGATCAAGTACACTTTAAAAATAAACGTCTATTTTCTTCTCATATCCCCAAATAGTTTGCTATGTAACCTCCCACTTTTGTTTCCAAACTTAGCTATGCAGAACAATCACCCAAGATTCTGTGTATGGGCCTGAGCATATGTATTTTTAAGTAGCACCAGCATGGAATTTAAGAAACACTGATCTTGTGGAGGAAACAAAAATTGTATTAGTTATCTATTACTTCCTTTAAAAATGACTATAAAATTTATCAGCTTAACACAATAACCATTTATTAGCTCATAATTTCTGTGCATCAGGAATCTATGTACAGCTGAGCTGAGCTGAATGCCTCTGGCTCAGGTCTCTCACAAGGCTGCAATTAAGGTGACAGCAGTGGCTGCAATCATCCCAAAGCCTAAGTGAGAGAGGATCCTTCCCTCCCCTCCCC